ATTCATACCACCCATTGTCCTGTTTTCACGTCTTTAGAGTGGCAACTATCTTGAAAGCTTTTACTGTCTTTCGAAAGACTAATGGAAAGATCTGCTAACCTGGAGTTCTTAGCGTTGTGCCGTTCGCCTTTAAGCAATACTTTTTTATTTAAATTAAATAAAAAAAAATATATTTATATATTTTGCTTTTTAAAACAATAGGAAGTAAAAATAAATGAACATTTAATTAAGAAAGGAAAAATTAAAATTAAGCAAAAATAAATAGAAAATATTTTTCAAAATTAAGTGAAATTAAAATAAATTTTTTTTTTTCTTAAAACAAGAAAATCTAAAAATTAAATAGAAAAGGAAAAAATTATATCAAAAGCGAAACTTGAAAATTAAATTAAATAAAATAAATATTTTTATTTTTTAAACCAAATCTAAAAATTAAAAGGAATTTGAATTTAAAATAAGACAAAACATAAACAAAATTAAATGCAATAAAATACAAATTAAAAGAAATTAGAATTAGAAAATTAAATGAAATTAAAAAATCGAAAAATTTCTTTTTTAAAAAATAAAATTTAAAAAAATTTGAAGAAAATTGAATTAAAAAAGGCAAAGGGATAATAAAGAGTATCCTAAGAATTAAATATAAATTAAATTAAATTTAAAAAAATATACTTTTTAAAACTAAAAACTATACTACTTATTTTATCAACTTTTTTCAAATTTATTTTTTTTTTTTATACCCGAGCGCACTTGTGTACAAGGGTATTATAACTTTGTTCACATAACGGTTGTTTGTAACAGGCAAAACGAATCGAGATAGATATAGACAAATGTATACATAAATGATCAGAATGAAAAGAGAAATCGATTAAGCGGTGACTGTCTGTCCGTCCGTCCGTCCGTCCGTCCGTCTGTGCACACGATAACTCGAGTAAAAATTGAGATATCTTAACGAAACTTCGTACATGCACTTCTATTGGGCGTGGGACGGATGGTATTGAAAATGGGCGAAATCGGACAATAACCACGCCTACCTCCCATATAACGGTAATTTTCAGAAATACGAAAACTGCGATATTTTAGTAACTACTGAAGATAATTCACTCAAAATTGACATTTAGAATAACTTTTAGACGAGAAATAAGAATATTAAAAATTTTTGAAAAATGGGCGTAGCCACGCCCACTTATAGTTACATGTGTATATTTTGGAAACCGCTGCACCAATTTCTTCCAAACTTGGCACAGTTGTTGACCTTGGTACAGCATACCAAATGGCCGAAAATTTTTAAAATCGGACAATAACCACGCCCACATCCCATATAACGGTAATTTCGAGAAATACGAAATCCTCGATAAATCAGTAAATATTAAAGCTAATTTATTCAAAATTGACGGTTGCAACAATTCTTTATCAGGAAATACGCTTATGATAAAATTTTGGAAAATGGGCGTGGCACCGCCCAATTATGATCACATTTATGTATATCGGTAACAGTTCTAGCAATTTGTACCAAACTCGGTATGATTATTGTGCTTGCCACATAAAAGCAAATATTGAAATCGGACTAAAATTACGGCCGCTTTTCATATAACGGTAAATTTCAGAAATGCTTGAAATTTCAATATTTCGAAATTTAAGGATGCTAGTTTACTTAATATTTATACACCCGCTTATCATGTAGCGGTAGCTTTCGGAAAGGTGGAAAACATATATTTAATACTTTCGCCGGGTATTTAATGTTCGGCTCCGCCCGAACTTAGACTTTCTTACTTGTTAATTTTAAAATACTATTCTTTTAACGAGAAGAAAATTTTTTTAATTTCTTTTTTAGGCACTTATTTAGCTTAACCTTTTTTAAATTAATTTATTTCCTTCCTATAAAAAAGAAAAAAATATATATTTTTTTTAATTTGATTAAATTTTTAGAAACTTATTTTATTTAGTTTTAAATTTAATTTGTTTTTTTTTCTTTTTATACCCGAGCGCACTTGTGCACAAGGGTATTATAACTTTGTTCACATAACGGTTGTTTGTAACAGGCAAAACGAATCGAGATAGATATAGACAAATGTATACATAAATGATCAGGATGAAAAGAGAAATCGATTAAGCGGTGACTGTCTGTCCGTCCGTCCGTCCGTCCGTCCGTCTGTCCGTCTGTGCACACGATAACTCGAGTAAAAATTGAGATATCTTAACGAAACTTGGTATGTGCACTTCTTTCGGGCGTAGGACGGATGGTATTGAAAATGGGCAAAATCGGACAATAACCACGCCTACCTCCCATATAACGGTAATTTTCAGAAATACAAAAACTGCGATATTTTAGTAACTACTGAAGATAATTCACTCAAAATTGATATTTATAATAAATTTTAGACGAAAAATAAGAATATTAACATTTTTTTGAAAATGGGCGTAGCCACGCCCACTTATGGTTACATGTGTATATCTTGGTAACCGCTGCATCAATTTATTCCAAACTTTGCACAGTTGTTGGCCTTGATACAGCATACTAAATGGCCGAAAATTTTAATAATTGGACAATAACCACGCCCACTTCCCATATAACGGTAATTTTCAGAAATACGAATACTGCGATATTTTAGTAACTACTGAAGATTATTCACTCAAAATTGATTTTTACAATAAGTTTTAGACAAAAAATAAGAATATTATAAATTTTTGGAAAATGGGCGTAGCCACGCCCAGTTATGTTTACATGTGTATATCTTGGTAACCGCTGCACCAATTTCTTCCAAACTTGGCACAGTTGTTAACCTTGGTATAACATACGAAATGGCCGAAAATTTTTAAAATAGGACAATAATCCCATATAACGGTAATTTAGAGAAATACGAAATCTTCGATAAATCAGTAATTATTGAAGCTAATTTATTCAAAATTGATGCTTGCAACAATTCGTTACCAAGAAATACGTTTAGGATACAATTTTGAAAAATGGGCGTGGCACCGCCCACTTATGATCACATATATGTATCTCGGTAAACGTTCTACCAATTTGTTCCAAACTCGGTGTGGTTATTGTACTTGCCACATAGAAGCAAAACGTTGAAACTTATTGAAATCGAACTAAAATTACGGCCGCTTTTCATATAACAGTAAATTTCAGATATGCTTGAAACTTCAATATTTCGAAATTTAAGCACGCTAATTTACTCAAAATGGATACACCTCGGTTTACCATGTAGCGGTAGCTTTCGGAAAGGTGAAAAACATATATTTAATACTTGCGCCGGGTATTTAATGTTCGGCTCCGCCCGAACTTAGACTTTTTTACTTGTTAGATTTATTTTCGAGCAGCTTTGATGACTTCAGCTGACTCAAAATTGTAGAATCATCTGCTGTTTACTTTGCCATAATATCACCAAGGCTTCGAAGACTTTATGTTCAAGCCGAGTCTTTTAAATCAGGCTTTCAGAATTATTCATACTTTCGTAATTTATTTGGTTTAAAGAAAATCCCATTTCTACAATACCCACACACAATCACATTCAGTATAGCTTGCTATTTTTCGCCAACAATCTTAGTTTTTCTTAACCCACTAAGTTGGATTAAACTTTTATTTCGTCTCCTATTTCAGGTTTTCTTAGTTTAAGTGATCCAAATCTTGATGTACCTGGTAATGCCGCTCTCAAAGATCAACTGCTGGCTCTAAAATGGATAAAAAAGAATATTCACTACTTCGGTGGCAATTGCAATAACATCACACTTTTGGGTGAAAGCGCAGGCGCCACATGTGTACACTTTTTGTCGTTGACCGAACAGTCGCGTGATCTTTTTCAGCGGGCAATTCTGATGTCCGGCTCCGCTCTCTGCCCTTGGGCTTTAATGACTCGAAGAGATTTGGCTTACCAATTGGCTGTTCGCCATGGCTATAAGGGTGAAAATAAAGACAGTGATGTGCTTGCGTATTTGGAAAATTTAGATGCGGGGAAATTAGTTGAGCATTCATTGGTCAACGACGATGAAAGTCGTTATTTTCTACCGCTGACCTTTGCTCCGACTGTAGAACCTTATGAATCCGATAATTGCATAATTCCTAACGAACCGTTTAATATGTTAAGGACAGCTTGGAGTAATAGTATTCCTATGCTTATGGGTGGCACTTCGTTTGAAGGACTGCTGTTGTATCCACATCTGAAGATGTCTCAACATATTCTGGATATTGTTAGACAGCTGCCAGAAATATTGCTGCCTGCTGAAGTGAGACGTGCTCATAATAAAATTGAGAACCGAATTATGAGTGAGCGTATACTTAAATTATATTTCGGTGAGCAGAAGGACGAAGTGGTGTTAAAGCAGCCAAATCAAGATCCCTTATTCGATTTAATGCATGTGAGTTTACATACTTATGTAAATAAATGTATACCGTTACATTATTATAGAAAGGCCCTAACTCATGTCCTTTCGAAATTAAGCTCTACCCAATGAAAAATTTAAAAGCAACTACTTCAAGAAAATATGTAACTTCTGTGTAAAAAATCTATGTATGGTAAAAAATAGGAACTCAAGTAAGTATTTTGCTTTTTATACTTTAGTTAGGGCCTTTCTATAAAAGAGTAACGATGTACAGTGGTTCAAAGCTGGCATTTAAGTCCATAATTCACTGGAGCCGTCATTTGTCAATACATTACATCCGGTATCACCGGAAATTTAAATGGAAAATGATTTTTAATTTTCTGTCAATTTCCATATAAAATTCAAAAAATTAAAATCATCGTTCACTTAAATTGCTTTTGTGAAATTGGCTGTTAGATTTTTTCAAAACCAAAATTAAATGATCTCTAAAACACCATAAGCAAAATTTTCTAAAAAATAAAAATATAATAATTTGGTGAAATTTTTTTTTTTTTTAATTTCAAATTTTCCTTGTGATTTTTTTTTAATTTTGGCTGTACCCTAAAATTTATTAACCGGAACAGGAGAATCGATTTTCTTCAAAATTGCTCCTCATTTTGCACTTTGCACTACAAAATTTAATACATACAATTAAAATTTCAAAAAATCGTGCTCAACTGGTCTTTTGGTATTTTTATAAGCTTTTATTAAAAAAAATATTAATCAAATTTGTTGAAAACTGAAGGCTCTAGTAAATTAAGAACAGTAAATTCCAGTTCCATATCAATTTCTATATATACGTTTTTTTCTTTTCGGCAATCAGCTCTGCTCGCACAGGCTTTTCTGGCATGGTCTGCATCGCACAGCACTTGCCCGCATGAAATATGCCACGGCCAATACATTTCTCTATCGATTTGACTTTGACTCGCCCACCTTCAATCATCATCGCTTACGCTTCGGCGGCGAGGACTGTGTAAACGGTGTTGCACATGCCGATGATCTCTCATATTTATTCTATTTGCAAGAATCTAGGAAATTGGCCGAGGAATCACACGAGCATGTAACCATTCAACGCATGGTTGGTATATGGACAACTTTTGCGAAATTGGGTGATCCGAATGGTGCGCATATCGAACCTCATATTTGGCTACCAATAGAAAAGAAAAGTGCCGATTATGGGCTAAACATTAGCCATGAGGTACAAGTAATGCAAATACCGGATGCGCCTAAGCTGGCCGCATGGGATGCTTTATATGACAAGCGAATGCTCTATGGTTCAGTGTCTGATATAGAGGAGGATTTCGAAGAGAGTACGAGCACTAAATAATCAACTACCGTAGATAAATAAATAAGCAAAAAGTAAAAGATATATATGTAAATGTAAGGGAATACTTTTATTAAGGAAAATAATAAAAACTCTTTATTTACAATAATTATTTACAATTACATTGGTAATATTTCAACAAACCATTTTTATAAATTATTGTTGCTGTTACACAATAGTTTTTCATTACAACCGGGCTCAAGCTCAATAAAATTGTTGAATATATTATTGTTAATAATTTATTTAATTCGTCGGCTATTCCGTTAACGGGGTATATATTATAACTCGAGCGGAACTTCTATTTTACTCTCCAAAGTTTAATAATAATAATAATATATTCTATTTGGAAAAAGGGGATCGACATCCCAGTCGTCTTCGTGTTTTTCGCGGATTTGCAATCATCGAAGTGTAAATTTGTGCCAGTACTCATTTTATGAAGCTTCAGCTCTGTTCGAGGTTTCTTTATTTTGGTTGGATATTTTATAGCACTTCCGCTAAACCATTATCTCTCCTCGAAGGGAACTGTCATTGAATGTGATTTTTCTACGAGGGGGAGGACTTTATTTCAAAATTGCCTACTTAGTCCAAAGTAACTCTTATTGGCAAGAGTGATTTCCGGTTGGATTTCAAGGGTGATATTATTATTGGTATTACCGATGGTCCCTAAATAAACGACAACGTCCACTTTTTCGAAGTTATAACCAGTGTTGCCAAACATGGCAAATTTCCTACCAAAAGTGGATGAGGGTTAAACAGAAAGGCAATTGCATCTCTTATGAGGACACTTACTGGCAACATTATTATTGGTATTCGTAGTTTGAAGATTCTTTGGAATAAAGCGAATATACAAAATCTTTTAAGCCATTTTCCGGCTGGACAAAGAATACAACTTTCGCAAGGCTTTGTAGAGATCTCACATAAGCAAATACAAATTTTGACGGTATTTAAAAGGAATGTCTACTGCACAGCGTGCTTACCAAAAAAATTGCACTAAATACATAATTTTCACTCCATGAAATTGTACAAATTATAGGGTCCTCGCGGGAAAAGAAAGAATTTGTGGTTGCCGGCTTTCTTAAACATAGAAGGAGCTATTAATAACGTCAGTCTAGGGGACATAGAGCAGTCCTTCAGCAGGATTGCGTACATCGTGGTGAAGTGAATTAAAATAGTGCTTCATTATCTCAGATGAGAGAAAAAACTCCGGTCCCGGACTGAAAAATCACGGGCCCTTATACATAAGTTTTAATAATTTAAAAGCATGTGATCAATTGAGAGTTTTCGTTTAGGGTTTCTTTAATGTAGAGAGTCAGAAAACTAAGCCCGAACGGAATATACACATTTATGATAAAAGTCTGTAACGAAGGAGCAGTTTCTCGCGGAAATATGAAAAAAATTTTTGTTTCTATAATGAAAACCTTGGTTATTCAAAGCATGGGCATTTAGGCCCCTAAAAAGCCCAGCCCAGCGGGATTACCCCTGTCCCCCAACCTCTAGACATGCCGGCCTCTAACCACACACCCAGCCATAGTGGCCGCCTTATATTTCCACCAAAAAAACTTTGACAAATCATCACAGAACACCGAGTTAAAAAGGCAAAACAGCTAAGTAATCAGTAGGCTTCTAACGTAATAAAAGTGCGAGGTAGTGATTGAAGACGAACTATATATGTATGTAAGTATGTACTCACTTATGTACATGTATAGGTCCTTAAGTATGTATTTAAAAAAAAAAAAACAAGAAAGTCTAAGTTCGGGCGGAGCCGAACATTAAATACCCGGCGCAGGTATTAAATATATGTTTTCCACCTTTCCGAAAGATACCGCTACATGATAAGCGGGTGTATAAATTTTAAGTAAAATAGCATCCTTAAATTTCGAAATATTGAAATTTAAAGCATTTCTGAAATTTACCGTTATATGAAAAGCGGCCGTAATTTTAGTCCGATTTCAACCATTTTCAACGGTTTGCTTTTATGTGGCAAGCACAATAACCGTACCGAGTTTGGTACAAATTGCTAGAACGGTTAACGAGATACATAGATGTGATCATAAGTGGGCGGTGCCACGCCCATTTTCCAAAATTTTATTATAAACGTATTTTCTGGTAAAGAATTGTTGCAACCATCAATTCTGAATAAATTAGCTTTAATATTTACTGATTTATCTAGGGTTTCGTATTTCTCAAAATTACCGTTATATGGGAGGTAGGCGTGGTTATTGTCCGATTTCGCCCATTTTCAATACCGTCCGTCCTACGCCCAAAAGAAGTGCATTTACCAAGTTTCGTTAAGATATCTCAATTTTTACTCCAGTTATCGTGTGCACAGACGGACGGACGGACGGACGGACGGACAGACAGTCACCGCTTATTCGATTTCTCTTTTCATTCTGATCATTTATGTATACATTTGTCTATATCTATCTCCATTCGTTTTGCCTGTTACAAACAACCGTTATGTGAACAAAGTTATAATACCCTCGTGCACAAGTGCGCTCGGGTATAAAAAAGGGCATTGATATATTTCCATTGTAATTTTTGTTCTGCCTCCACTGTGACGCTTAGAAGACAAGTCTCCAGTGATATTGCTAGATTCCACAAATGTTCGCTCTTTGCGTTACCTCAATCGGATTTTGAGTTGAGTAGTTTTAAAGATTGGGGCCAACGATTGGCGCGGAAAAGACAAATTTTTTTTTGGCGCTGCACTTCTCAGTGAAAGCTCTCAAAAATATGTAAGAGAATCTCTAATTACCTAGCGCCATCATAACCTGTTTGCTTAGATTCAGAGGGGCTTTCTCTCGCTATCTGCCTCATTTTCACTCTCACTTTTAGACAAACACTGCACAGCTGATTGCTGGTGCTTTTTGTATAAATGTATGTTCATATGTTTGCACTGCTAATATACTTATTTAGTTTGCAAAGCACACAACAGCTGTTAGTGCGACTACTAGCTCTATTGATTAGTTATTTTAGTTGTACATATACGAATTTGCAGTACTTCAAACACTTTGTGGCTGCCAGCGGGATAACACATCTGCTGTGTAAATATACTCATATTTATTTATATTTTATTTTTTCTTTTTATTTATGGAAAACACTTCAAAATTTATTACTCTAAAAATTAAAAGAAAAATCATAAACTGCACTTAAGTACACTCATGCAAATTATAAACCCGAAATAAAATAAAATGTTTTTTAGAGTTCAGAGATATACCAGCAGTATTCCTAAAATCTCAACCAGCATATTACGATCATATCTACGCAAAATGGCAACGGAGTAAGTTCTATGCATGATTCAGCAAGTACATATATTATATGGACTTTGATTGCAATTAATTTTTTTTTAATTACATAAATATGTATATATTCATATCACGCAGCTCTGGCATATTGGAGACAGTGGAACTGCAATTACCACAAGGGCGCATACGCGGTGCAAAACGCGAGACTGTCTATGGCGATACCTACTACAGCTTTGAGGGCATTCCCTATGCTCAGCCACCAGTTGGCAAATTACGCTTTCGGGCACCCAAACCCTTTGGGAATTGGAAAGACACGCTAGATTGCACAAACAGTCCTCCCAAGCCGGTGCAAAAGAATTTACGAACTGGTAAAGTCGAGGGTAGCGAGGATTGCCTTTATCTGAACGTTTTTACTAAAAATGTGAGTAGAGGGTTTAATTTCAATAAAAAAAAAACATAAATATTGTACAATTTGGCCCTGATAGTAAGAAACTAATTTTATTTTCAATTTTGTTTTAAATAATCACTGAGGTCAATATTGCATGAAATTAATTAAATTTCAATTAAACTTCAGATTAATGCAACCAAGCAACTGCCTGTGATGGTTTGGATTTATGGCGGCGGTTTTCAGACTGGTCGTGCAGCACGTGATCACCATGGACCCGATTATCTCTTGCAAGAAGATATTGTTTTTGTATCTTTGAATTATCGCTTGTGCTCTTTGGGTAAGTTCATTGATTTTGAAATGAAATTTTAGTCGATTTAGCCATTTTAGTCGATTTAGCCATTTTCGTCTATCTGTCCGTTTGAACGAAATCTTGTCTCTGATTTTCCGAGATATCCGACTGAAATTTGGTAAACAGGTGTATTTTTATTAGAGTATCGCTTCCATACAACTGATGATTTTTCATAGCTGAGATTTTTTGTTTTAACTCTCCATTTATGCAGCTAGGAGCATGAAATTTCGACTCATTATCAACAGAAAGTTACAGCGAAAATGACAAATACCGGATCAATATAACCTCCAAAATCTTATTGTTCAGATATGGGGTTTTTTGTATGGCTAACACCAAGCAATTTCGAGAGCTCTTTCCCAAATAGCCTTACAAAGTCTTCTGAGAAAATCGTCAAGATTAGCACTGTATTAGCTATATCTCCTATGCCACTGTATGTTCCTATTGAACTAAAATTTTCAATTAAAAGGATGTACATATAACATGAAAAAAAGAAATTTATTCATTAACATTTTGGTATTAACAACTTGGTAGGGATTCTATTTCATTTTATCAATATATGATATCCTTAGAAATCTTTATCGCTTAATATTTGTTTTATAAATTTTTTTCGAATTCAATGAAATTTTTTGCAACATGTAAAACTGATAAGGTATCTGCCACATTATACGTGATTGCGTTCCTATCACTACAATTTTATAGAAACTGTTACAAGTCAACACCAGACTATGAGAAGTTAACTATTCTACTAGAAATGTTTTGTTAAAATTTTTTATGCGAAAACTCTTCTAAAGAACTGCGATAAATCCATTAAAATTTGTATATCTAAGATGAACTAAGTTGTAGAAACCAGCGAATTTGTTTTGAAATTGCCTTGGATGGTATGGGGAAAAAACAATGATTCAGAAATTATTGAAAACAAAACATGGTAGTAAAGTTACTTAAATATTATTTGCGATGGTAATACGTAGATTTTCTGGCCAAAATTTTTAATGTAGAAAGATTTTTAACCTAGTTAAAAATTTTAAGCATAACCGAGTAATATTTTTTAGTCCTTTCAAAGAAGAGTCTCAATTT